TTTGGAGAGGTTTTCACTATAGGGCAATGTGCTCGCCAGACGGACAGAGATAGACAGAGACAGAAAGCGAGAAATCAACCCCCAGGGGGGATGGCCATGCCGCAATCCCTTCTCCTCCGTTCTCCTCTCGGGATCTTGGGCATGCACGCACACGCACCCGGCATGAGTTTTAAGCCACCGGGTCCGGGACGCGAACCATGGTCGACTACGTAGGAATCCAGCGACATAGCCATTACGCTAACTGCTGGTCCCAAACACATAGACTTTTTAGCTTAGAGTTAGAAAAAAAAATAACATCTGTAAATCTGAGACCTCAGGACATACACATGACATGAATCTCAGAGTCTACGACTGTGGGGAAAGGCCGTTCATGACCTGGATTGGGACTGCTCAGGACTTCTTCATCTTTGTGGAGCGCACGGATGTAGCTATGAACTGCATGTTGCAATATGACCAAGCCCCACGGGTGAGAGGAAATCCTTCCTCTCTTTTTCTCTGGAGAGTACATATTCCCCCTGGTAACTATTTTTTTTAAGTGTGTAAGTAGGGACCAGCAGTTGTTGTAATGGCTATATCGCTGGACTCCCATGTTGATGGTTTGAGTCCTAGACCCAGTGGCTTAAACTCACACCAGGTACATGTGCATGCGTGCATGCCCAAGATCTTGAGAGGAGAATGGAGGAGAAGGGATTGTGGTGTGGTCATCACCCCTGGGTGGTGATTTCTCGCTTTCTGTCTCTCTGTCTCTGTCTTTCTGGTGAGCGCACAGGTCCTATAGCAAAAACCTCTCAAAATAAATAAATAAATAAAGTCTTTAAAAATTAATCATTTCATTTTAATTATTATTATTATTTAACTTGAGCAGAGATAGAAAGAGAGAAAGAGAGAAAGTGAGGAAGCAAGCCACCAGGTCCAGGAACTGCAGTCAGCCATGCAGGAGTCCAGGACCACAACCATCATTCCACCCACTGGCTCCAGGTAAAGTATTCTTGGTTGACAGTTTTGTTTTGCTTTTCCCTTCAGCACTTTGACTATATCATCCCAAAATCAAAATAACAACAACAATAATAATAAAATTGCGAAGTTGGAAAAAAAGTGAAAATGACCCCATTCATCCAATGACTATGAAATGATGACCACTAGCATTTTGATCTATTTCCTTCCAGGTTTTTTTTTTCCTATAAATATAGTTTTGTTTGGGGGACTCTTATTGGATATACACCTAAAATCCAGTACTTTGAAAGGTCTGAGATTTTTTTCCCCCTACTATCTTGCTAACAGGTTAGTCTGCCTACATATCATGCATGAAGGCAGATGACAAGAGACTTCTGGGCCAAAGACAAAGGACTTAATCTCCCAGCTCAAAAAGCTGTCTTAATATATTTGTGTCAATTTCCTTTGCTCCAAGACCCCTGGAGGCCAGGTGGATTGGCTGGACGAACATGTGTATGCAGTTGGTTACATTGCAGGAGGTCAAGTCTGAGCTTCAGGAACCGGAATATTTTATAATGGACAGCAACAGGCCCAATCTTTGCTCTGGAAGCACTGTTATATAGGGCAATAAGTATATCTACCTTTCAATCCAAAGGGTTGCGTATAGTACCTCGAGCTTCCAGAGCTCTTACTAAGCAGTCTTAAAAGATTGCCAGAAAAGAAAATAGCTCCTTTGCTTTTAAAATGTAAAGGAACATGAAAAACTCATAGGAAATTCTCAACAAACATACATGTTTTTATATGTTATGTCTTTTTAATCAGCATTTTAAATGAATGAGTGTAGCTTTAAAGAATTAGCCATCAATTCCAAATTTCACTAATATTGATCTTTTAGATTGTTTCCTTAAAAAAAAAAAATCACTTCACTTAGGCATCCCAGTTTGGAGCAGAGAGGGTAAAATATTATAGTAGCCTTGTGTGTTATATATGTTACTATGTCTTTTTAATCAGCATTTTAAATGAATTGATCTTTTAGATTGTTTCCTTAAAAAAATAAAATCACTTCACTTAGGCATCCCAGTTTGGAGCAGAGAGGGTAAAATATTATAGTAGCCTTGTGTGTTATAGCTGAGTTTCGAGTAGATAGCAAATGGGCTCTTGCTGATTTGTGGTCCTTGTAGCCTCTTCAGCTTGGCCTTCTGTAGAAATATGCACCACCTCTGAGTGGCAAGCATCTCTTGTGTCTCAAGATATTATCCAGAAAGAGACAGGCTCTGTGAAGCTGGATATTAATCCTGCTGCTGGTCGTCCATCCTGCACTGGTTTTCTTCTGCAAAGTGGAGATATTTCCTGACATGTTCTGCAGCTCACATGTCTGCCTGAGCCTCAGACAGAAGCTCCTACTGCCTGGCATCAGTGCAGCCCAGAAAAGTCCATATAAATCCTTGAGATCCAAATAATGATGTCGTCCAAACATCTGGAGGGGGCCTGGTCTGTTGATGAGAATTAAAGACAGGCAAACCAGGATAATGACCAAGTGTTAGTCCTGGAACTTGTGTGCAAGGAAAATTCCCAAGGTGGAAGCTTCCTGGAGCTATAGAGTCTTTTAGAACATCTAGAATATTTCAAAAGTGACACAAATTGTAGCAAAAAGTCTTCCTTGATGGAAATGAGGACTCAGTGACACATACCCAAAAAAGGCATTTCTAGCAATAACTTATCCCAGAAAATTCCAGGTTAAAATTGCAAAAGATGTGGCTATAAAGTTAGACTGTCAAGGTGAAAGGAGACAACTTTGAGACTTTACTTTCTGAGTAAGGAATGATCATAGATTAAATCAGAGGCAAAAAGTTCTATTTTTTCTTTTTTATAATAAGAGGAGGAAGTATCTACTGGAAGAAGTATCTGGAAGTGTCTTCAAAAGTTTGTAAAATGAAAGAAATGAATTTATCTATTTCTTGCACCAATATTTTTAAGCACCCACTATGTGTTCAGGAGTCTTTGAGGAACTTGGGGAATTGGTTGTGTGCAAGATAGATGAGGTCCTAATTTCATAGAATGTCAAATCTAGAAACAAATAATAAATATCTAAGATCCTTTCAAATGGTAAGATTGCTGTGAAAAATTAAACAGTGTGATATGACGACCTCTGACTTGGACACAAGATGGAAGGTTGTCGGGGTAGTATTGCTAGGGGAGCACCTGGAAAGGGCTTCTCTGCAGAGGCTACATTTGGGCGGAGACCTGGACAATGAAGAGCTGTTAGGTGAAGACATGGCAAACACAAAAGCTGTGGGGACAAGGGCAACATTTCCAATAACAAAGAGAGAGATGTATAGTGTTGGAGGCTAATGATTGGGCAAGGAAAAGAGGAACAAGATGACCTCAGAGAGGTAATCAGGCCAGTTGGTGTAACATGTCACAGGCATCCATAAAGAGTCTGGATCTCAAGTGATGATTCAATGGATTTTTTTCACATAACACTATGGTAGAGCCCATTTATAATGTTTTTAGAGATCTCTTCATTTTCCACTATGTTTTGGATAGTGTTTTATTTCCCCCTAGGATTCCTGTGTTGAAATTTGGTTCCTCATGTAATGGCGGACGTGGTGAGACTTTTAAGAAAAAGAATCATCTTTAAGGTAGTTGGGTACATTGCCAGACAAGATTAACATTTGAGTAGACTGTGAGGAAGACCAACCTTCAGTGTGTGTGGATACAATACAATCAGCTGGGAGCATGAGAAAAACAGAGAAAATGAGAAAGTCTGTTTCCTCTTTCTTTCTTTTCTTTCTCTGTCTCTCTCTCTGCAGTGGTTGCTGACCTGTCTGTTTCTCTTGGCCAGGGGGCCAGCCAGATGCCAGGCCCATGCTCTTGGACTTTTTAGCCATCAAAATCATGAACCAAATAAACCTCTGTTCTTTATAAATCATCCAATCTTAGGAATTACTGTTTTGTTTTTGTTTGCTTTTTGTTATTATTGTTGTTTATTTCATTCATTTATTTCTTCTGAGAAGGGGAGAGGGAGAATCATCCCCAACATATGGCCTTATACTATTCACCCCAAGTCTCAGTTGGCCAGGATCACAGGCACTTGCGTGTATGCCCCCTGTGGCCAGGGAGGTCATGGGACGTGAACCCAGGACATTTCCCGTGTGGGTTCAGATATCTTCTGTGACACAGACTGGCCCCTCAGATATTAATATTTCTATTTAGCAACATAGTAACAGATTAAGACATTCTTTCAATGTACCAAGGAGATTCAGGGAAAGCTGCCTGAGCCCAGTCTCAAATGTGACTCTTAGTGAACCTAACCCTATCCTGGTAAGGTAAGGGGTGTGGGACCCAATGAAATGGGGGAGAATTCATTGAAGAACTTATGGAAAATAGGCCCTCCCAATAAAGAGTTAAATGTGGGAAAAATAGCTCCTTTTTTTTTGTTGTTCTGATAAATATTGTTTAAAAGTGTTGCCACCATCTTGGTGCTATGAAAGACATTGGCCTTAGGATAACATACTAAAAATGGCATGAAAAGAAGATGGAACAAAGGACTCAGGGCATCCAGTCATTTGTATTTCTCTTTTGTAGTACCATAATGGAATAGTACACATTCTTTACCAGATAATGAATAAGCTTTTGCGATGAATGATGCTGGTATTTGAAACAAGTTTGATAGCAGTGTGTGAGTTTAAATAAGGGGTGTACTTTCAAATAAAACCTGCTGATGTTGCAAATGGATTGGGTTGGGCTGGATAGGGAATCAGGGATGACTTCTAGGTTTGGAGTTTGAGTTACTTAGTGGATAGCGATATAAATACTGAGTTCAAGAAGGCTGAAGAAGGGATGAATTTTGATGGAATGGCGGGGAGCATAACTAAATTAATTGAAAAAGGAAGAGGGACTGAAGTAGTTATTTCTGCCTTCCTTCAAAAGACAACCTGTTATTTTTAAAAAAGGATTATTTAGAGTTTGCCACATAAAACTGGCAAATGGAAAGATGGGTGGGTAAATAGATGGATAGGTGGCTGGGTAGGTAGATGGGTAAATGGGTAGGCAGATGGATGAATGGTTGGATGGATAAAAGTGGCTTAGAAATGAGTGTACACAATGATGCCTTCCCATTGATTTTTATTTTAATTTTATTTATTTACATTCATTCACTGTACAACATTACAGTATTCAAAATGAGATTTTTTCCATCCAGAATACACTATGTATTAGTCCAATAAAGGATATTACCATATACATTATCATCAACAAATAATTTTCCATTTCTTGTTTCTTATATATTTTGCTTCTCCCCATCCTTGATTCCCTACCTCTTACCCTCTGCCCTTTACCACCCTCCTCCCACAGTGTTTCTGGTATCTATAGTTGCTTTCATGCCTCCCCCCTCCCTATATTTTATTGATTCACAAAATGACTTAATTAATTTAAATACTTTCAATAGCAAGTGCAGTTGATATATACCTATCTATGAATACATGTCTGACTTTAGGCACAAATCTCAGTGAGTAGAATGAACATACTATAATGTAGCACCTAGGTAAGGCAATATAGCTTAGTGCAGTCATTAAATATGTATTTTTTTAATTTCAAGGAAAAAAGTTTTAGTTTTAATAGATCAAAACCAAAAAATGTTAAGAGAAGTTTATATAAGACTTAAAGCCATGAAAAGAGGTTAGGATTCCATTCAAACAGTAGGTAAATGAACCTATCAGCAGTTCAAGAGAAGACAAAAATCCTTAAATCTAGAAAACAAAGCACTGACACAAATCAGTAATGTTTTAGTCTAAAGTCAAAAAATTCTATTTCACTAGTTCAGTCTCATGTAATTAATCTCTCTTCTATTGAATTTGCAGTGTTACTGTGGTCTCATCTTTCTGTTTAAATTCTGGAAGTTAACATTTAACGTTATTATGGATCTTCCAGAGTTGTCCCTACCATTAAGCTGGCCATTCTCTTGGTTGTTTTTTGTACTCTTATTTCTATGGCTTAGAAATGAGTGCACATAATGATGTCTTCCCATTTATTTTTAAGTGTCTGACTTTAGTTTTCCTGGTATAGCACTCCCTTCAGAATTTCTTGGAGAGCTGGTCTGGTATCGGTAAATTCATTCAGGTTTTGTTTATCTGAGAATGTTTTTGTCTTTTCTTCTCATGTGAAGGATAATCTTGCTGGGTATAATACTCTTGGTTGGAATTGTTTTTCACTTAACACTTTGAATATATTTTCCCACGATTTCCTTGCTTACAATGTTTCCAATGAGAAGTTCCATGTTAGCCTGATGGTATATCCTTTGAGGGTAACTTGACATTTCTATTTTGCCAGTTCCCATTTCTAATATGCAGCTGTATCAGTGAAGCCATAAAAAGATGCTTCTCTCAGATGACATAGTGTACAAGTCTAAGGGTTCTGATCCAATCACTTTGTCCATTCTGAGAGTCAAGGAAGTACTCCATTTTAAGCATCATCTATAATTCCTTCTCATTGAGACAATACTCTGTGGTCCATTTTAGCTATGAATGCCCACTTTTTTTCGACTTTGTAAAAAATTATCATAATAATCTTTATTTTACCAGACAGGAAGCGCTGCTTGCGGCAATCAGTGAGAAAGATGCAAACATTGCCTTGCTGGAATTGTCGGCCTCCAAAAAGAAAAAGACACAGGAAGAAGTCATGGCCCTCAAGCGGGAAAAAGACCGACTAGTACATCAGTTAAAGCAGCAGGTGGGGCCTCCCGCACACAAGGTGTGTTTTTCTGGGTTTGGGGCCTTGGGTGCTTTCTCTGGGTTTAGCCACTCTTCATTTTACCATGTCTATCCAGCGGGCTCAAGCATCTAAAACCAGGTAGGCACAAAATGGGCCAATGTGTTGCTGGGACACCATGTTACTGCTTTTCTATGTTTCTGTGCATGTGGCTGGGCTTGTGTGGTCTGCAACCAGCGCTGTTTTCCTTCCTTTCGTATTCGCATCATCTCCCCAGAAATAGCTCTCACCTCTTTTCCTTCCAGTTGACTTTGGTTTCTGATTAAATCCTACAAACTCCTAATTAAGTCCTGGGTACCTTCTTTCCTATTGGACCTGTTTACCTTCTGTCTTGCTCACTTTCTGGCCCCTTAGATAACTCCCCTCATCTGGTTCTATAGGTTTCTTTCTCTCTATACTTACAACTTTGGTTCTTGAACTGTTTCAATGTTCTATAACTTTTCAGCCAAGAAACATCTCCTAGCCTCTAGTAGTGCCAGACTATGCTTGGAGATCTTCCCAACTATTATTCAGTTTAATTTATTTTATCACTGTTTGCCCCATTTTCCTGGGAATCCTCCTCTCAGGGCCTTCCTCTGTATCTGTTTTGAGAGAAATAGGAGGGGCATAATCCTAATGTATGTAGAAAGTTCCTTGCTTTCTGGAGGGTTTTGTGAAAGTGACTTAAATGGAAATAATTATACCCGAAATATTGGAAAATCATTTCTAAAACCTTCAATGTTATTTTCCTCCATATGTAACATGAGACTTTCATAAGCAATTCATAATGACCTTTACTCAGATTGTAGCTTTGTTATGAAACCATTCAGCTCAATGGTCTGTGGCCTCACAAGAGGGCTGCCACATCTTAGCTAGGGCCACTGAAGCTTCCTCAGTGCCCCCTTGTTACAGCGTGGAGTATGTCCATGCCAGTCTCAGCCCCAGGACTGGCTCTCTGCCTGCTAGAGTGAGCTGTGCTGAGCACAGAGCAGGGTCAGTGGAAGGGAAGTGAGAAAGAATAAGTTCCCTCCCCCTAAAATGGGGTCAACACTTTCCTCCTCAGGAAGAAAAAGGCATCCTTTTGGCCTTGAACCAGAGTGCATTTCTCACAGAGCTGGCTTACTGAGAGAGAGAAAGAGAGAGAAAGACTCCACCACCATGCCCTGGGCACTCGCTCCTTGCAGAGGGAGGGTCCCAATAACTGCCAGACATTGGGGTCATTCCATAGAGCGGCATGCCTGGCTAGCACTGGCCCCAGGGGTCGGGGACCGCTTACACTTGACCTCTTTGTTTGGGGCTGTCCATTTCTACACTGAATTTTTCACCCACTTGGCCACGGAAAGTCAAGATGAGCCTCCTTTGTTGCTTTCCCTAATTCCTACCCTGTGCTCCCTGCACCTTCCCCTCCTGCACCTAACCATTGTAGCTTTTTCCTACAGGTTTATAGACCTAGGAAACAGCCCCCGAGCTCGAATATACCATGCACTTGTGATGCTGGCTACAGCCCAGATATTACGGCCAAGTACCACGGGTCCAGCTACGATGCATACATGATCCAAAGGTCTCAGGTCAGTCAGTTGCTAAGGAGACACTCACCCCCACCCCGGGGGTGGGAGGTCTTAGGATCAACCTCTTATCTTGATCTTCACCTCATTTGATGATTTCCAATACTTGGTGGCCATAAAGCCTGAGACCACAGACGATAGCATTGTATTGTGATTTGCAATATAATATCATTTATGTATTTGCTAGTGGTTCCAGACTGTGTGGCCACCCTATAAGTCCAGCTTTTCTGAAATGGTCCAACAGACCTTCAAAGCCAAGATGCCAGTGGCCTTGCTGCCAGGCATAATGGATTCATTTTTCTCTTTAGACACAATGCTCCACATACCTGCCTCTACTTTTTCCAGTAAGGACATCTTTAAAGATGCTTTTTGTTTCCTTTTCTCAGAATCATGAAAATGTACTAGATTCCAGGACTGAGTGTAGCCCTTTGGTTTGCTCCTGGGAGACTACACTAAGCCTTCATTCTTTGTGACAGGCTGAGTTTTGGGTATCGGGGCACATCTGGGAAAGCCCAGCTTGTGGAGCTAAGCTCTCACTTGGTGCAGGCAGGGTTTAAAGGGCTGTGGTGAAGGAGGCAACAAAGAAGGAGGTTGAACTCCTTGGTGATTTAGATTTGACATTCTTCTTCACACCCTTCCCACCAAAGAGCAAAAAAGACTCGATGCATTTAAATATCCTTGTTGCGAATGAGAATGAATCTAAGAATAGTGGTTTATTTGGTTGTACAAGCAATTGTCTTTTAGTCAGTGTTCACTCTGTGCTAGGTTGTATATATAGTGTCCCCTGCAAGTCTTGTCCCATAGTCCTCACACCAGCTCTACCAGCAGGTACCAGGATTAACTCCATTTTCTAGGGACCTGAGGTTCAGCATGTGGCATAATCAGCCCAAAGACACACAGCTTGTAAGTGACAGGGGTAGAGCTTTAGATATTCTATGTGACATTTCATATACCCAATAGGTTCAGGAAGGAATTCAGTGTCAAGCAGAAACTGCAAAGTCTCCTTTCCATAAACCTGAAATAGATGCCTATAGGATTACTTAAGAATATCCTCCCACCATTTATGTCGAATGGGCTCTGCCTAGAGTGCTTAGGCCTAGGCTATTTGATCATATCAACAATTACTAACTTTGGAGCTCTCCCTGTGTGCCAGGCATGGCTTGAAGGGCTTGACATGCATTAACTCATGCACTCCCAGTACAACTGAGGAGTTAATTCTCTTGTAGAGAAGAAGCTGGAGGTCCAGAGAAATTGGTACCTCACTCAGGTCTCACATTTGGACACACCATGACTCTTGGATGGACCCTTTGCCAAATAATTGTAAACAGATTTTAAAGAGGGCATCCAAAGTTAAACTGCTTGAGTCTTGCTTCTAGCACTTGCTAGCTGGGTGGTCACCAGCAAGGTGCTAAACCTCTGTCAACTGGGCTAATGATCTACTTCAAGTCTTAGAAGATGTAATGTGTGCAAAATGCTTTGCACATGACTGGGACATAGCAAGTGCTGTATTTGTATGAACTACTGCGACTGCTACTTCCGCTATTGGTATTATCATCACCAACCCTCAGACGTAGTCCAATTTTTATTTCATCTTTGCCATTTTGCATACAGTCAGGAGTTATAGCTCATTGAGAACACATTGTTGAACTATGGAAGAAAGCAGACAAGTCTTGGCACCAAAACTTTTCTGGTCTTCCTCCTTAAATCCCAAGCACTTAGGGAGTAGTGAGCAGGCCTATCTGGAACCTAGATCCCAGCTCCCAGCCTGCAATGAAGAGGCCCATAGCGCTTATTAAATTTGCTTGGTTTCTGTATGCAGTCCATCTCTACCTCAATCGGAAGGTACCCCTGGGAGGGCACATCTCAGATCTCAATTGTCTTCATCTACATGACTAACTCAGAAGAGCAGAAGTCTTTCCAGGGCCAGGCCAGTGGGAGAGGAAGGCCACAGGTCTGGCCTGCTTAGGTTTCTACACAGATAATGAAATAGACTGTCTCAGGAAAGATGCTACCCTCTTCAGGCTTCCCTTTGAGTTCAAATTATCTTGGACATAAAGTTAATATTAGTAATAAAAAATTAAAATCATCATCCATGCCGCGTGACTGAACACAAGTAGCACATTTAGCAACCCTCACAGTTATTGCATGTTTTAGGCACATAGTAGGTGCTCAAATATTTGTTAATTGAATGAATGCACAATTACCACATGCCAGGCTGTACGCCAAGTACATTATATATCTGTACGTCTACAAACACGATTTCACTTTTTCCTTATAACCAACCAACAATCTTATTGCATTCCTACTGTGTCTCAGGCTCTCTGTCTGTTGTGGGGCTTTCATCTGTGACAGATATTTTACCTGCTCTGATGAGAAAAGTATCTTCCTTTTCTTTGAGTTGATCAAACTTCAGCTCCAAGAAATCATGTATGTAACCACCATTGTGGCTGGCGGTGCAGAGCTGGGCCCCAGTGCTGTGAGAGTGCTAGGACTTTGCTCTTAACTGGGCTGGACACTGCCTTCCTAAAGCAGCACTGTGATTTGTAGATTATCCCCACACCTCACAGATGTCACCAGAGAAACCTAGCCAAAGCCTCAATCTGTGACTCCCAACGTGCCCATGGGCATGGAGGAGAGAAGAGTGGGTCGCTTGATGAGACCAAGTACCCAGTGGAATTCAGCTCAAGTATTTATTGAGTGCCTGCTCTGTGGTACAGTGCTAGGCACTTTTTAAATACATCACTGATCAAAAGAAAGACCCCTTCTTCACGGAGCTTACTTTTTAATGGAAAGAGAAAGGCAATAAACAACAAACACAATAAACAAGTACATTATGTGCTAGAAAAGAAAGCTATAGATTAGTGTAAAGGAGAACAGGAGTGCCAGGGTAGGATTGAGAGGCTGGTGATAGTTTAAAAATAGAGAGGACAGGAAGGGACTCGTTGGGAAGGAATTGTTTGAGCAAAGACTTGAAGGTGACGAGGGAGTGTGCAATGTAGGATGTGGGGAAGAATGTTCCAGCAGAAGGAACAGCCAGTGCAAAAGCCCTACAATAGGAATGTGCTGGAGCTCGAGGACTAGCAAGGCCAGTATGGCTGGCTTGGAGTGAATGGGAGGCCAGGAAGGGAGACATCAGAGTGGTAATGGGGTACTGCAGGCTGTGTGCTACTCTGATGCAGGATCTACTGAGAGTGGGCAATTGGGGCCAGCAGGTGGCATAGTGGTTAAGGCACTGGACTCCCACATAGCTGACCACGGTTTGATTCCCAGACCTGGTAGGTTGAAAATAACTCCAGGTGCTTATGTGTGACTGCCCAAGATCCCAAGAGGAGAAAAGAGAAGGGACTGCAGTGTGATCATCCCCCTTGGGGGGATAATTTCTCACTTTCCTTCTCTCTGGTGAGCATATGCGCCCTATGGTAAACAATCCCTCCCTCCCCCCCAGAAATTATCAGCAATTGGGAAGTAGGATATGCTAGCCTCACAGCCTCAGAGCAAGGAGGGTTCCCTACTGCATCCCTCTGGATTGCTCTTTTAAGGCTGCCCTAGAGCCCCCTGTTCGCACCCTCTAGCTCCAGCTTTCTTGAGTCCCATATACTTGGCTTTCATTTTTTTTATGCCAGAGGATGTGTGTATACACATGATACAGAAAGAGAGAGAGACCCTCAATGTGACCAGGTCATCCTGCAATCCTTTTCCTTCCAACTCTAAAATTTATCAGGATCCTGGACTCTTGCATGCTTTCCTAACACACATTTTAAGCCTGTAGAGCCAGGACTCAAATGTTGGTCAGCCACATGGGATTGCGCTTCTGTATAGCACTTAGCCACTATGCTACAGGGCTGGCTCTTAGTTTGCATTTTTGTTATTGTTGCTTTTTTGTTTGTTTGTTTGAGAGATTTTTGCTATAGGGCGCATGTGCTCACTGGAGAAAGACAGAGAAACAGAAAGCAAGAAATCATCCCCCAGGGGGATGCAATCCCTTCGCCTCCATTCTCCTCCTAGGATTTTGGGCACACATGCACACACACCTGACATGAGTTTTAAGTCCAAGACTCGAACTGCGATCGAGTATGTGAATCTAGAAACGTAACCATTACTTCATCTGCTAGTTCCTTTGTTTGCATTTTTTAAGAAGCATTGAGTTTTCCATGGGGGCCACAAAGACCTCATGCCAGGATTAACTTGTTATACCTGTTGAAATTTTTAAGTAGTATGGGCACAGAGCCCTCTGACGAAATGCGTTTCTTCTCTCTTTGGCAGTTAACTGCATGCCGTCAGAGTCCAAATCCTGCACCATCCTTGCTGCAAGGATGCATGCAGCCTTAACTGTATGCCGTCAGAGTCCAAATTCTGCACCATCCTTGCTGCAAGGATGCATGCAGGCAGACAGTAATGGCGACTGTCATGTTGTTGGCCTGTGCAGCGTGTTGGCTGTACCTAGGAGGAATATAGTTGGTGATCAGGTCAGGCCAGGCCAGGCCAGGCCAACATTTTTCAAACTTCAGTGGGCAGAAACCTAGTATTTTCTAAAGCTAAATCTCATGTTGAATTTATCACCTTCTAGCCTTTACTATTAAGAACACTATCTCAGCTCCCGAGGTATTAAGATAAAGACAAACTGAAACCAGTGTGCTTGTTCCCTCTCCCATGCCTTTCCTTCTGCTTGGAAGACATTTCTGTATTTTCTTTACCTTGTTAATGCCTCTCATCCGTTCAGTTTCCATCTGACATCACTTCTTCAAGGAAGCCTTCTGTGTCTTTCTCCATTGGATCAAATCCTCTAATTGGCCACTTCAATACACATGCAGAGTTTTATTTTATAGCACTTGTAATAGATGCAATTTTGCATTTGGTTTGGTGGTGACCTGAAGAATAGCCATCTGCCATGCTAGTTCATGAGTTTCATGAGGACTGAGAAATCCTCTAATTGGCCACTTCAATACGCATGCAGAGTTTTATTTTATAGTACTTGTAATAGATGCAATTTTGCATTTGGATTG